GCTGCTTCTGAAAGTTTGTCTTGGGTCAGATTGGACTAATGAAAACAGTATGTTCTTTCCTCTAATTTTAAATCTTTCCTGGTGAATAGTGTACTATAAGTATTTATGTCCCAATATTTTGGATTTTCACAATAAAAACTTGTAAATATACAGACACTTGTTCTCTTTATTTGCTGCATCTTTCACTAATAATGTGGATTTGGCCGAATGCTGAATTACACATCAGCAATTGCTCTATTGACTATATTTATGGCTGAGAGGTCAAAATACAGCACCTATTAGTCTCTTGTCTACAGTAAATATCTTTGGACAATACTGTAAAAACTGGAATATCTATAGACAAGCATCTACTTTCACTGTTTGCTTTCAACCAGATTTTTCTGAATGCTTTCATATCTTTCCATTTCTTCATTTCAATGTTCCCAATCTGTCTTCCTATCTGCTTCCTAACTTTTTACTTCTCTTTTCATTAGTGAAATTTACCAAAGAGACAATTTAGATTAGGAAATGAAAACTAGGCTGCACTAATTATTAAGATTATAGAGATATTAATGGTGAAGTAATTAGTCAGGAAATTGTAAAAAGCTACATTAATTATCTGTATATAGAAATTTACACAGAGAGATATAAACATATGCTTTATGTCAGGTTAATTTGTTCCAGGCATTAGATTAAATGTAGAAGATAAAATTATCCCATACCTTTTGTTTGCAACCATGAACATTTATGACTACTAGTTCTGAATCTTGAATTCTGAAGACATCTGCAGACCTTTTGTCCACCCCCACCAATGCTCTAACTAATCAAAACGTAAATCCTCTACCTGGCTTACTATGGCAGCTCTATATTTGATGGAAAAACACAAATTATATTTTTTTACTAATGCCTTTCTTTAGAAATTTTCTTTAAAAATCAACCTTCTGCCCTAGAATGTTGCAAATATTGTTTCTCAATTCATTGCTAAGCTTCTCTCCAATTCTCATTTATGCTCTGTTCAAGAGTGAACAAAATCTACCAAACTTTGCAGTGTTGATGGGAACACTGTAGTTCCTGCTGTAGTGAATATGTCTGATTTAGTGATTTCCTCCACCTATTTTTAAAATGTTCTAAAAGTTCTAACTTTCACTTTGTCTCCTGCCACACTGCCTTTTAGAATTCATTGTTTTTAATAAAAAGTATGTACAAGACATCCTGTTAGGTAGTTAGCAAGGGATTCTGGGTCTCCTAGGAATGAAAGTTTTTGCCTTGCCTTGGTGCAATTGCTCTACCTGGGAAGAAGGACAAGGGTAGGCCCCAGGGCCCCATCTTGGCCCTTTCCCACCTTAATACTGCCCTGAGCTACTGCCATACCTGGAGGAGGAGGGAATACCTAACAAATCTGTCAATTATATCTTACAGCACCAGCTGCAAAAGAATGCAGAGAACTCTCTAGCCCATGAGCCAAGCAGCATAGGTACCATAGAGTCCAGAAATTGCCCTAGAACAATCCGCATGTGTAGTAAGACTCAGGTCATGCAACTCCCAACTGTCCAATCAAAGTTGTTCCATGGTGATGTCTGAGCCACAGGGAGGTCCCAATCCGGGCACTATCAAACAAAACTGAGACCATAACCAACACATTTTTGTCCCTTCTTTTTGCTCTCTCTTTGCTGTGACAGTAGGTCCAGTCATCATCTGTGGCATATGTTACACTCTGTAAACCTGCATCTTGGTCTTGCTCTATAATCTTATCTCTCTCTCCTCAATAAACATCATTCTAATGTTTGCCTTACTTTGGTATCTGGTCGTTCTTTGGCCATGAGCATGCTAAGAACTGACATTTAATTCACAATTGCAAAGATGTGGAAACAACCCTAGTGTCCATCAATAAATACATGAGTGGATTAACAAAATGTGGTATATGTATACCATGGAGTAATATTCAGCAATAAAAAACGATGGTGATATAGCACCTCTTGTATTTTCCTGGATAGAGCTGGAACCCATTCTACTAAGTGAAGTATCCCAAGAATGGAAAAATAAGCACCACATGTACTCACCAGCAAATTGGTCTCACTGATCAACACCTAAGTGCACATATAAGAATAACATTTATTGGGCAGGTGGGAGGGGGGAGGAAGGGATGGGTATATGCATACATAATGAGTGCAATGCACACCATCTGGGGGATGGATACGCTTGAAGCTCTGACTTGCGGGGGAGGTGGGGTAAGGGCAACATACATAACCTAAACATCTGTACCCCCGTAATATGCTGAAATTAAAAAAAAAAGATTGAAACCTGACAAGCCAAAGTTTACCACTTGATCATTTTTAAATTTTGACTCTGTGATCATACTTAGAACTTCCTGTTGATAATTTTTTTTTAAAATTTCAGAATATTATAGGAGTACAAACATTTTGGTTACATTTAATGCCTTTGCCTCGCCCAAGCCAGGGCTACAAGTGTGCCCTTCCCCCACACAGTGCTCTCCACATCCACTGGTTGTGAGTTTACCCACCCTCACCGCCCCGCTCCCACCTGACCAGCACCAAATGAATATTACTACCACGTGAGCACCTTAGTGTTGATCAGTTAGTACCAATTTGATAGTGAGTACATGTGGTGCATGTTTTTCCATTCTTGTGATACCTTATTTCGTAGGGTGGACTCAAGCTCTATCCAGGATAATATAAGAGGTGCTAGATCACCATTGTTTTTTGTAGTTGTGTAGTATTCCATGGTATACATACACCACATTTTATTAATCAATTCATGTATTGATGAGCACTAGGGTTGTTTCCACATCCTTGCAATAGTGAATTGTGCTGCCATAAACATTCACGTGCAGATGTCTTTATTACAGAATGGCTTTTTTTCCTTTGAGTAGATGACTAGTAGCGGGATTGCTGGATCAAATGGTATTTCTATTTTTAGCTCTTTGAGATATTTCCAAATTTATACATTATAGCAGTTATAGTTAACCCCAGCCATTTGTATGATATCTATATTTAACAACCAATTTTGAGTTTATTGTATGACTCAGAGAGGAAATGAGAGACTGAGGAAGTACTGTATTTCCTAGACATCAAAAGGTGAAAGTTCAAAAAGTGTCTTAAAAAAAATAACTGAAACAGCACACTGTAAAAAAGGCATGTCTATAGAAATTCTTTTTTATAGTTTTTTGAAACAATGTGAATCGGTACATTTTTTCAGTGTAAAACTGATTTATACAGATAAATGCTACCCCTTTAAAGTATTTACTATACTTCTTAGTTTTTTTCTTTCTTTTCCTTTTTTTTTCTTTGTTACTAAGTGCTCACCCTAGTTTTTCAGTAGATTCGAAGACTCCTCAAAGACAGGAGATAGTTTTGTTGTGCTTTCTTCTGTAATAGTGGAAGTTTAGAAAAAGAAACAGAATTTGAATAGAAATGCTACTTCCAGCCTTTCTAGATGTTTTTCCTTGGATTGGCTATCTAACCTTAAGATGTGAAAAGTGAAGGTAATAAAACCTATCTTATAACATTATTGTGAGGATTAAAAATGATGTATGAGAAATGACAATTAAGAATTAGGCACTCAAAATGGTAGTTTTTACTTTTCTAATAGTCTGCAACTTCCCATAGAACCTTTCTTAGTGTCTCCATATATTAGAAATTCAAAGTCTCTCAAAATGATTCCCTCACTTCCTTCCATACTAAACTATGGTAATAGAGTTCAGGGATTATAGGTTCACATTTCTCTCAATTTTAGAAACTAATAAAGAGTTTTAGATACTTATAATGATTTTTAAATCCATTCTTTTATGTAATGTTAATTGAAAAAAAATGAGCCTGAAAAAATGACAAAAATGGAAAGCAAACACGAGGACCAAACAAATAAACACAAAATTTTCCATTTCTCACATTGCAGATTATGCTTTTTAAAAAATCAGACACTAAAGATAACTACACTTGAAGTTTTTATTTAGTACTCTTATAATTTAAATACAAAGGAAGAAACCTTCTAACATTATGAATATTCATTTTATTCAACAAAATGCAATAAAGTATCAATTTTCCAGACTTCAAATTAATTATAGGATCCCACTGTACTTGTTATTTTCTGAAGAACACTAGTTCTGTGAAGTAACCCTGCAACTTTGGAAATAATTGCATTTGCAATCTCTTGTTTTATAGGCTTATGATGAATTGGCATATTTCCTATATACTCTCCCAATTTTCACTTATAGATATCAAAGGAAAGAATAGGCTTCCATTAATTACAAAACTTTGGCTTTTGCATCATTTTCTACAAGGTATCATATGACATTTCTATGTATGATTTACCAGTACACTTACCTTTAAGTGCATTGATTTTATTTTCTACAAAGCCAATTCTTAATAATAAAATATCTTCCTCACTGTCTTAGCAACATGAATTCACAGAATGAGATATCACGTATAAAAGGTAAAGCTATAGAGAATTTGGTACTAAGAAAGATTCAGGGTAGGGACGACGCCTTCGGAAACTGTTTCCTAGCCATTTGATAAAATCCTTATTTAAAGTCACTATTTTATTCCAGGTTTGAATTGCTAATCCTGTTATTGATACTTCAAGATTGTATGTAAATTGTCTTTGAACATGTGACGGGAAATTGGCAGTGAGAGTTAGAGGGCACTCCTCAGTTTCTGTCAAAATCAAATTTGAAGGGCTTCATCTCTTCCCTTTATGATAAATATTAAATAAGTTTTTCCTGATAAAATTTAATACTGCAAAGCAAATATTAAAATTTAAAAATTGCTTCTATACAGTAAAAGTCTCTATTAAGAGTCTCAATATACAAATTAAAGAGTTATGTATCATAAAGTAAGAAGAAAAATGAGGTAACGAAATCACATAAAGTACCCTACTTATGAAATTAGCTTTAGATTCACTCATTTAGCATGGCTTTAATACCACCCTCATAATTTGGAAGGTGTTGAGAATAAATCTTTTTTAAATGAGGACACTTTCTAAATTAATTAATTTATTCTTTTTACCTTTCGTAGCATTCATTCCTCCAACAGCATAAAGTGCCCCCACAGTTGATTTTCTAGGCTTTGTCCGAGGGCTTTGCATCATGGGTCTTCTCTCAGGTAAGAGATGATACTTCATAGCTTCAATCAGGAGCTTCTGACACTCAAGATCACCACTAAACATGGAACTGTTTTCAAGATCTGCCAGTAACTAAAAAGTAATGATGCATGGCATGAATGAAGAGTTCACCATTAGAAACAGCATTTTTGTTTCTATAACTTTGGAGAAAACTGGAGCTAATCCAAATGTAGACATTATATTACTTAATATTTTAAGTTACCTACTAAGATATTTTTATTTTCACTTATCATGTAACTAAAAGCCTCATAATAGTATCTAATTATTTATGCAGACTTATTTAATTGACATTATTCATCTTTTGAATATGTACCTACATAATCTGAAGAGAGAAGAAAAAGCACTCATACAAAGTATTACTGAAAGCAATCAAACAGAATGTCTATGTCTGCACAAAGCAAGCATCTCCTATTCTACTACATGTAGCTAATTCAAATAGGCAGCTTTTTGGTGGATTTGGGGTGGTGGTGGTGGTGGTCATGCAAACATGCCTAGTTAAAATAATATAACACATAGGGCATGACATCTTTATCATCAGTCATTTCTGTAGAATATTCTGAAAGCAGGTGCTTTTTAACTGGGTTAAGCTATGTATGTTAGTAACTAGCCAACATATTAGGAGAAATAGATGATTAATTCTTTTTAACTATTATTATCTGGGAGACAGTGACACTCTAATTTGCATTGATAAAAGCTAAGTAAGATATTTTTCCTGAGATCAGTTGTATAGAATACAAAAGTATGTTTCAAAATATTGTCAAGAGTCCTGTTAGATTGGTTCCCTTGGAGATTGGGGTCTACAGTATCATAGGACATTGAAAGGAATAGCAAGCAGGCTGTTGGAATGAAAGTGCTAATCTTACTCCATAAAACTTATCTGAAGTTTCCTGCTCTGCATGAATTAACTACAGCTCTTTTCTCACTCCATCTGCAATCTCTGATGGATCACTATTTTGATGAGACCCTAGGTATTTCTTATGATGTTGGAAATAGGTCTGAAAACCAGGCTATGTAATTTTTTTTTCTAAAATTACTCTTCAGAGATTCATCACTGTTCTCTTCATATACTTCATTTCTAAAATATTTTTAAGGTCACTTTTAAAACAGTTTTGGAAGACCAATGTTTGTATGCCATTGCCCATCACCACAATCACCAGAAAAAGGTCACAGTCCATATTCTAGGCCTAAGACACAATTAGAGGTGAGAGACCAAGGTACTCCTGGTTGTGCGTTTGGGCTGGAAATTTCCTCTTATTCTGAAAAAGTAAGAAAAGTTCAAATCAAGCACTTTGCTGAAAGAATGTCATATTACTTAATACTGTGTAAAGTTAAGCATTTCTTGGGATACTTCACTTAGTAGACTGGGTTCCAGCTCTATCCAGGAAAATACAAGAGATGCTTTATCACCATTGTTTCTTATAGCTGAATAGTACTCCATGGTATACATATACCACATTTTATTAATCCACTCATGTATTGGTGGACACTTGGGTTGTTAACACATCTTTGCAATTGTGAATTGTGCTACTATAAACATTCGAGTGCAGGTGTCTTTTTTATAGAGTGACTTTTGTTCTTTTGGGTAGATGCCCAGTGATGGGATTGCTGGTTCTAATGGCAGTTCTACTTGTATCTCTTTAAGGTATCTCCATATTGCTTTCTACTAAGTGAAGTATCCCAAGAATGGAAAAATAAGCACCACATGTACTCACCAGCAAATTGGTTTCACTGATCAACACCTAAGTGCACATATAAGAATAACATTTATTGGGTGTCGGGAAGGTGGGAGGGGGGAGGAAGGGATGGGTATATGCATACATAATGAGTGCAATGCACACCATCTGGGGGATGGACACGCTTGATGCTCTGACTTGGGGAGGGAAGGCGGGGTAAGGGCAACATACACACATAACCTAAACATCTGTACCCCCATAATATGCTGAAATAAAAAAAGAAAAAAAAGTTAAGCATTTCTGATCTCTTCTAACAGTGCATCTCAAATTTTTGCATGTTTAAAGGTAAGAAGAAAAATGAGGTTCCATGTTTACTGGAAAACGTGTTAAAACTCAGATTCCTCGGCCTCACTCCCAGAAATTGTTTCACTGGGTCTGGAGCTGGGTCTTAGAAATTGTGTTTCTAATAAGCTCACAGGCAATGCTATGTTGCTGACCCAGGGACATCTTGAATGGCACTGTCTTTGAGAATCTAATAAATCATTTAAACTCTCTTTTGAAAATAACACACATAAGTGTATAAACATTTGCACAGTAAAAATTCCTATAGATTCTGAAGCTCATCTATAAATACCCAAGTTTAGAATCCTGGGTTTAAAATTACACATGCAATTTAATGTTTCTCTTTTTGGTGTTCCTATTGCCTTGCTCTTTGGATAAACTTGCTATACTCAGGAGGGCAGTCAATGTCCTTTCATTGCATATGTATACATTCTTAAAAGCAAATATGTAGTTCCATGGGATTTATAATAATTAGTAGCTAAAAATAACAAAAAATATGGAGAAACCAGATTAACATTGACTTTTCAATATTAACATTTAATTAGTAATTTGTTGAAAAAATTGATTCATTTTAATATTTATGAAACTATTGATCAACTAAGTCCAGACAAAGCCTCTATTTCTATGTAGATCATGTTTGCGGACTTTAGCCATAGGTTCAAAAGTATGAAATACATATGTGCAATATATTCATATATATTATAAATTATTATCTACATTGATCAATTTGCTACAGGCAAAAAGTTTGTGGTTATCACCAATGGTGAAATTATGTAGCATGACTGCATTCAAGCCTCACTAAACTTCTCATACTAAAATTCAGTTTGAGGTGAGTCAATCTTGGATCTTATCCAACGGTGTTTGTTTTTAGAATCATCTTTGCTATAATCCTTCAGTTCAGTATGCATAATGAGGATGCCATTATCATGATACACTAATGCATATGAAAGTATGATAGCATGCTTTCCATCACAGCAGATAATTATCCTTGTTAGTAGATATTATCCAGGATCTGATTCCATCCCTAGAGTCTCTTTTGTGAGGCTATTGTGGTGATTACTAACACCTTGCCTAGAAGGTGAACACGAAAAGAAAAAGAGTTAGCTTAGTAATTTTCCCTGATTTTTACAAATGCTATCTGGTGGAACTGAAGCTAATGAGTATTCTGAGGTTTAGGGACTATCCATAGTTTTTTTTTTTTTTTTTTTAATCATGTTTCCTCTCCTTTATTAACACCTCTAATTGAAGGCTGGATATATCCTTCTGCAAAACTAATCTTTTACACTCCGATTACCATAAATTCTCTGATATAATAAAATTAGGCAAATAAAGAATGGAGCAGTGTCTAGTGGTAGCTTAGAACTATAATTTACATTACCTGGGTAAATTTCCATACCTGTGGTGGGAGTAATGGTAGTCTGATGTAAGAAAGCAGCCTCGTCAGGTCTTGTTGCCTAGTCTGCACATCATGTCCCACCCACTGCATTAGAGCATGAAAAATAGTTTCCTCATTGGGTACATTGATGTCATCACTGCACAGAAGTTTTGAAATTTCATTAGCTGGAAGCAGGAGAAATTCTTGGTTCTGTATTACCTCAATGAAGTGTTCCTAGAAAGAAAGTCCATCTACTAAAATTTTGCACTTTAGAAACTTCTCAACAAAATAAGCATATCAAAGCATGCTATACTCAGGAGGGCAGTCAATGTCCTTTCATTGCATATGTATACATTCTTAAAAGCAAATATGTAGTTCCATGGGATTTATAATAATTAGTAGCTAAAAATAACAAAAAAATATGGAGAAACCAGATTAACATTGACTTTTCAATATTAACATTTAATTAGTAATTTGTTGAAAAAATTGATTCATTTAATAACTGTGTTAATATTATGGAAAACTCTATATCTCATTCTCCTTTCTACTTATTCTCCAATGAAAGAAAAGAAAAAAAGAAATGGGGACAGAGAGAGACAAAGAGAGAGCGATATTAGCTTGGTGTGTAAGACCTACTCAATGGCCAATGTAGATCACAGTGCAGTTCATTAAATTTCATTATGAATTTGAGAGAGTTAAGAAATGATTTAATGGTTTATATAGTTGTTGTATTTAGATATAGCAAGAAATTAGATTTTCTGATAGAAGTTGTTATGATTTCAGAGTTTAGCTTGATAAGACTCTTGAACATTGCCAGGCAATACAATATATTAGTCTAAATTAAAAATAAATGTATTTGTTTAAGTATCTATATATGATACTGCAGTATCAGGTACTATAGAGAAATCATTAAAGACTCATTTTCAATTGTTTGAATTTGGAGTTATTTGCTCCTAATTTCAAGTAAACACTTTTTTCTATGCACTTTCCCAGGGAGTCTTCTTTCATGCCTTGGGTTCACTATGCATATTTTTAAAATTCACACTTAAATTGTGAAATTTATTAAATGCCTATAGCATATTTGCTAAATGCCTCATTGATTCAGACAACTATTTATATGATTGAGATGGTTAATTTTATGTGTAAACTTTATTTGGTTACAATGTACCCAGTCATTTGGCCAAACTTTATTCTGGGTGTGCTTGTGAAGGTGTTTCTGGACGAGGCCCACCCACATTAGGGAGGGCAAACTGCTTTATTCAATCTACCAATTCACATGATTATAACTGAATCCCTAAATTGTTTAACATTATTCTTAGAAATTAAAATTATTTATATTCTTATACTATCAATATGGTATTGTAAAAGCATTATTATAACAAGACTTTTACACATTTTACTGTATCCACAATAGATACTAAATAACTAAAGAAGAGGGATTAAGGGAGACAACGGTATTGCATTTTTATGCACATCCTGCTTTAACACTTAGTTTCGGTCACATAATAGGAAAAGGAAGACAAGTTCATTTTGAGCAACAAAAGTAATTCAAGCTGTTTATCAGAATGTATTTTGTCTGCAAGGGTAAGATACCAGACAGGAAACTGTTAATACTTAGTTCAAGAATTTAAGTAATTTAACAGGAAGTTTTCATGTTTGGCTTTTGTGGTAGGATTAACCTTTGAACTACATAACTGCTGTTCATTCAGATTATATGCCATCTGTATTTAGGATACAGGAACATAAATAGCATAACTAAATGACATTTTAAAATGCCAATCTACGATAATGTGATTCTTCATATAATGGCATTGTTTCAGGAATATGTTTCAAACTTCAAATTTTGAGCCATGACTTATGGTGGAAAGGAGGGAGAAAGACTTACAAGAATTTTTTTGAGAATTCGAATTTCAGAAATTAAAAAAAAGTTAAGTTCTGTATAAAGCTCTAAAAACACTCTATTTATATGCATCTATATCCTGAAAATAATGCTACTTTTATCCATTTTTATGTGCGATTCTCTACTTGTAGGCAATTGTCTTTTGTTTTTTAAATCTTAAATAACTGGAGCAATTTCCTTTGTTTAGCATATTCATCTTTTGATTGAGTTTTACAGAAAGATCCATCTCTTGTGTCATTCCCTGCTTCAGAGGTAAAAACAGTTCATTTTCTTCTTTGCATCAGGGAATTATTAGCACTTATGGTAAAGCTGTATTTAATATCTTCTTTCCAGTTTTCTTGCCTCCCCAGTGTCTATATTTCATGTGATTGTCACCTGACTGAATAAAGATCACCTTATCCTATGTAATTTTTAAATAATTACCACATATGGAAATGCTTATTTAATTTACTACTAACAGAATTGAGAGGGATTTTAAGTTGTTTAAGTTAAAAGATTTAACAGCAAAATTTTTAACCAAAAGTTTTTACTAAGACAAAAAAAGTCCACTTAATAAAACTGTCTAATTTTGGTAGTTCTTAAGCTCTTCCAATTAATATTGATCCATTAATATTAACTTTTTCCTTATTAAATGACATTTAACTTTCATTAGAAACCATAATTTGTACAACTTTACAAACTGAATTTCCAATTCGGCAAAAACATCAAGGAATTAATATTTTCTTATTACTATAGAATGTACTTGAAATATGCACTTGTACATTTTAATTTTTCCACTATTTTCATTTCCCTAAGTGTTGAGATTTAATTAAATCTTTCGCTTCCAAAAATGAAAAACTTGAGTACAGCTCAACCAAATATTTTATCTAATACATTATGAGCAAGTTAACTGTAAATTATGAGTTTATATTGCTTATTAATTTTATCCTAACATTTAATATATTACTACAAGTTACTTTGAAGCAATTGATTTTACCATAGTATACTTATGTGCCACATTCAGAAGCTCTATACAGCCCTGGGAATCTCCAAATGATCGAATCCCTAAGCAGTTTGAAGGGTGGAGCTGCTTTATGAGGAAATTGGAGCAGACTTCAATGACCTGAGTCAGCTGCAGGAGACAAGCCGCAGCCAGCAAATTTTCAATGGAATCTTCCTTCAATTGCAGGACACCTAGATGGTTTGAAAAAATAAAGATTGATTATATGTCCCGTAAAGTAAGACATAAATATGCCAGCTAGTTGAATTTTTCCATTTCCCTCTCTAGTAGGGCTGTGCTTTTTAGTGTGCTGTAGCAAATCTGGGAATACATTTTGAGGCCAGTATGTGCAAGGGAATCTGTGTGTAAACACTAATAAGATAGCTGAAGCAAACCAGACTAGATTATTAAAAACAACTGTAGCAAATAAACAGTGAATACCATCATTGCAAAAAACAGCAATTTGTTATTTCTTTATGATCTTAAGCTTTCATTTAAATCTTGTATCAATCATTTCACATTGTATGTGTACATGAGTGCATGTCATACACCTTAAATATACACAATTTTTATTTGTAATCATAACTATATAAAGTTGAAAAAAAAACTGTCTTCATTACAAATGAAGAAAATTATGTCGTATTGTATAAGGATCATACAATTGGCCATACAAGTAACTGTCATTTGTGTGGAGCTAAACATTTTGGTGAATAAGAAAAGCATTGAGCTTATACAACCTTTCTTTTGATAAGAATAATATTGAACTTATATGTCCATTCTTTTTTATCTACATTTATTAGCTGGTAAGGATGTCTTTGCCCAAATATTATGCCTAAACTTGACCCCTGGCACCGTCTCAAAAAGAAGAAAATGTCAAGAGTCCACAAATGAAGAACTGCTTATATGGTTATTTGCTTTGGTATAAAAAACAGGCTCTAGGGCTGGGTGTGGTGGCTCACGCCTGTAATCCTAGCACTCTGAGTGGCCGAGGCAGGCGGATCCTTTGGGCTCAGGAGTTCCAGACTAGCCTGAGCAAGAGCGAGACCCCGTCTCTACTAAAAATCAAAAAATTAGCAGGGCATGGTGGCGCATGCCTGTAGTCCCAGGTACTCGGGAGGCTGAGGCAGGAAGATCGCTTGAGCCCAGGAGTTTGAGGTTGCTGTGAGCTAGGCTGTCGCCACGGCACTCACTCTAGCCCGGGCAACAGAGTGAGACTCTGTCTCAAAAAAAAAAATAAATAAATAAAATAAACAACAGGCTCTGTTTGAAAATATCTGTAATGAATTTTTAAAAACAGAATCAGAGGCAGTTTAAGGCAGTTCCTTTAGATTGATATATCTGTATTATTTTTAGAGCAAGCATTATTGATGACCTATTGCATACATTATAAGTTATTTTTATAAGATATATACCTACTTTTTTATTGTTTTAGACAAGTTATTGATAAGTTATAAAGAATGTTTCAAATGGCTTATATAAATTATAATCTACTCCTTTAGAGTTTTTTCTTCTAAAATACTTTAATATGCATCCTATATGGTTGCATAATCATAAGGAAAAGGTTAATACATATTGTGACGTCCTCTATACTTAGTTAAACCTGTAAAATATATTGTAAAGAGGTACCATCCATCAGCAGACTTCATTATGTTGTTACTTGTTCTATATTGTTCTATATTTTGAAAATGAGAGCCTTGCTCACATCTCATGAGACCTAGAAAAGTATGAATCCTATTCTTACATTCAGATATAAAAATTCACCTGCTATAGACATTGAAATTAGGCCTCGTTATTGGGAGGAATATTAATTCAGATAAATATTTCACTTATAAAGGTGTAGGATATACTAAGAAACCATCCTTATATTACAGTGTATAGTATTCAGTTACAAAAATGATTAAGAAAGGCTGCTTATAGCTGGGTGCAGGTTTTACCTCATTAAAGAGTAAAAGGGTAGACAAGCCAGCTGGTTGAGTTATCTTGGTCTACACATGATTAGGAAAAGAGGTTCACTGGGAAGAAAAAGATATTTTCTAGGGATTGAAATGCATCAGATAGGAGAAACAAAGTCCTTAAATGTCTGGAAAAGAAAACAGAAGTCTCTATGAGGACTCAAGAATGTTCTATTCCACCCCTGATTTAAGGAAGTTTGTAGAAATTTTAGAACATAAAGAAAATTTAGGGAACATTTTTGTTTAAAAACTTGTCAGAAGAAAGGTGTGAGTTGAAGGAAGGGGGTGAGAAAAAGTGAAATTTGGAAGTAATTTTGTTAGAACGTGGTCTTCAAATAGTATACATATCACTAGAGGGACATAAAACCTTTATAAGACACAGATAAATTTTTTGTTAATAGTTTTCAGAACCTCAACTTCCATACGTACTTCTTCTTAAAAATGATCTGCTTCCAAAACAGGTC